AGTAGACACAGGCTTCAGAAGACATAAGTAATAAAAGTTGTCAGGACATTGAGTGGGAACCTAAGGTTGAGATAGCAGTCCAAAGTAATTGAAGTGTATCTGCAATAATTTAATTCTTTTAATATGGAGAAGGTTTTGCTGTTCAATATATTGCTTTAAGAAATAGCTGGCTGGGTGCAATGGCTCATGCCTCTCATCCCAGCATTTCTGGAGGCTAAGGTAGGTGGATCACCTGAGGTCCAAGAGTCTGACAACCAGCCGGGCTAACATGGTGAAACCCCATCTCTACTAAAAATACAAAAACTACCTGGGTATGGTGGTGCATGCCTGTAATCCTAGCTACTTGGGAGGTTGAGACAGGAGAATCACTTGAACCACAGAGGTGGAGGTTGCAGCGAGCCGAGATCATGCCACTGCACTCTAGCCTTGGCGACAGAGAAAGACTTTGTCTCCCCACCCCCAAAAAAAGTGGGATGAAGGAATGGCTACTTCTCAGGCATTGTCCACAGAAGATAAATGCCAGCGTCTATTTATGCATGAAGCATATGCATGGCATATGGCATTCCTTCAGGCTTATTTTCTCACCTCTGCCCACGGTTTGTGAGGGAGGACAGTAGTGGGATGATAAGAATCTGCATCTGCTGGCCAGGTCTCTTAAACTTGTTCACTTCTGCCATCAGTCTTCTTTACATTTCACATAAAATTTATATTCTTATCTCTATTTTGGATAAGAGCCTGTTTTTGGAAATTCGAATGTGTAAACTTTATCTGTCATCTCCTCTGCTCCTCCTATTTAGTGCAGAAGGGCTAAGGTATAAACCAGTATTTTAGGAAACCATTATCTCCCTCCCACCACCTGGAAGGATAAAGCTAGTGACTTGTTTTAATTAACATATGCGTACATACTGTGTAAGGAGGACACAGGAGTCCCAAGTTCAATATCACCACTGCCACCACTGCCCTGAATAATCATAAAGTGGGCACGGACTTCAGGGTCACACGGTTCTTTGTGTTGTGCCCACTTTCAAAACTTGCTAGATAAGGCTTTGGGCAAATCCTCCGACCTATGGGATCCTTCCTGTCCTCATAAAATAAGGGTAACACTCCTATTAAGGGTCAGTTGACCACAGGCAATACAAGTTGATTTATAACCTGTGTGGTCTTCCTATGTACGCAGTGTACAGAGAAGGGATGATTAAATATACTGAAATGAGATGACGTATGCTGTTAAGACACCCTGCAGTGTGGAAAATGATTGGACAATAAAAACTGTGCAGGTGGCATACAGGGTTAAACTGCTCATGTATGAAGTCCTCATTGGTCAGATGATAACATGCCTTGCCAATTAGGGATGCACATTCTGGAATCCTAGGGTGATCACTGGCTTGCTGTGTGACCTTGGAGAAATGAATCTGTGTCTCATTTGCTTCAACCGTGGCTAACAGTGTACAATTTATGAAGTACTGCTGCAACCGTTTTACACAGATGGCTTTCTTCTCCGTAACAATATTAAGAGGTCAGTGCAATTATCCTGAGGTGCAGATGAGGAAACTAAGCCACAACGCTTTGGTTTATTTTGTCCTGGATTGCCGCCAGCAAGTGACAGAATCAGGGTGTACACTCAATGTCTGTTTCCAGTATGCACATTAACAAAAATCTTTGTTCCCAAGTTGATAGGAATATGAAGATAAAATGAGACAGGATTAAGATACTAAGTAACTAAATGAGGTGGACAGTTCAGCCTTGATAAGATTTTTAAATGAAATAAGGCACATGAATTTTGGCTCCTAATGAGCACTCGATATATGTGAACTCTAGCACTTACTGTATTTTTTCTATCGTATCCAAGGTCTCCCAAGAAGGCATTAATAGGCGAACACATTTATTTGAAATGAGTGATGTCTTGTTTTGTTTAAAACGGAAGACTGACATGTCCACGTTGAGAGACAGCTAAACTTCCTTGGGTGTTTCTTAAACAGGGTGAGTTCCAGTGACTTCTTTAGAAAAATGAGCGAGGAAGGGAAATAGTTTGAACCAGAAATCCAGGGTACTTACAGGAGGCATCTGGTCTACTGGAGGCTGCGGCAGCCTGCTGCTTACCACCCCACATCCCCGGCAGACCTAAGTCCACTCCAACCCGTGGGTGACGAATCTACCCACTGAGAAAACCTATAGAAGCCAAAGAACTCAGAACACCAACTTGTACCTTTTCAGACTAAGCTTTTATTTTTTTGATATTACAAACCAGTTTTCTTTATTCACAAACCACTGTAAGTGATATAAACACTAATTTCTAAAGACAGATATACACATTTTCTGGGTTTGCAGATTGCGTGATGTGTGTGTTAAGAAGTCACTATATGCCACACATAATATTAATTTTCCATAATTCATAATAGCAATAGTTATTTAGATAAATGAAAACATTCCAAATAAATACTGTTTAAAAAAAATCCAAAATGTTCGTTTACATCTGACATACATTTTAAAATGACTTATTGGCATCTTGGAGGAGTGCCTGGACAAAAGATTCTGCAACTTCAGTTGGCACCCACTTACTCTAAATGATTTTATTAAAACTACATACAGTCATGGGGGGAAAAGTACAGCTCATTGATGAAAATCAAAACCGCAAATGAATTTTACTTTAACCAACACAGTAAGAATTCTATGTTTGATTCGAAACACAATACAAATTCTGGAGTTTGAAATCTGAGGCATTCGGGAGAAATCATCTTATTCTCCATAGCCCCCTGCTTCTACTCATTCTTCCCTCTGGAGGATGCCATAGTATTTTATAACACGTTTCGTTTAAGAATGGCAACCAGGCACCCACTGCCATAACTGTTTTCCAGGTGGGGGAATGAGAATGTCTCAGTGATGCTATAAAACACCCCCTTGCCCCTCCCCTCACCCACCCAAATAAGTCTGATGAAAAGAACACTTGATTCACTTTTGGCTGATAAGCAGTTCCCCCTCCCCCTTTTCTCTTTTCAAGATCACTGTCTGTCTTAGATATCGAAGCTACAGAAACTTCGTTTTCAAATCTTTTGAAACTTTATTGATGGTTTAATATCCAACTGATCTTACGGCATGCACATAGGATGGCAAGAGAAAGCTGGATCACACTTTTTTTTTTTTTTTTTAAGTTTTGTTTGGTTTTGTTTTAAAGCAGAGTTGTTACAGCGGATTGGCAGGTTCACAGCGGTGAGTTGATAACTTACTGAAGTGCGTGCCACACGGCCTGCACTATACACATGAGGACTTAACCTATGGCAGCAAAACTACTCAGGGACAGCCTGCTGCTGTTGTTTTTATTTAAATACAAAAACAGGAAGACCCGTGACAGATACCCCAACTCAGGTTAACTTGTAAACAGGACAACGTGGAAAGTTCAAACAGAAGTTACAGACAAACTGCAATTTTTCGGCTGTGTCTCTCTGGCCCTGCATCCTAGAAAGGTGGGGAGACTTTGTTTCGCTGGGATGAAGAGGGCGGATCTATGTTTTTTGTTGTTGTTGCCTTTTGACAAGCGTCCTGGGCCTTCGAGACGGAACTAAAGAGATCATTTTTGAGAGAATCCTTGGGCGTGGGAAAGAGGTGGAAGGGCATGATCTCACAGACTGAAAAATTGCAGATTGCTCACACAACGCAGTCACATTTCAAAAAGTACCAAGCTGATGAAAATACCATGATTATCTCTACTCAATGATTGCAATACTTGTAAAATGCTTCTATAAATCTGAATATGATTATCATGTAATTCCATAAAAATTATACGTCTGTCTCTAACAGTTGTTCTACTAGGCTAAAACTAAAGCTTCATAGACTGTTTCTAGAACTTAACAACTCCACTGCACAGATGTAAATTTTATACATTTTTTTTTTAACTGTTACAAAGAATTTAAGTTTTTATTACTTTCTCTTTTTGGAAAAAAAGAAAAAAATAGAAACAGTGCTTTTTATCACCTTTTTATTAATGTTATTTTTTCCCTCCCATAATATAAAAGTCAGCAATGATATCAATAATTTATTATACTGGAAGAAATATAAAAAGAATGCTTGTTGATGGCCTAACTAGCAGGGTTTTTTTTTTTTTTTCTTTTTTTTCTTTTCTTTTTTTCTTTTTTTCTTTTTTTTTTTTTTTTGCCTAAATAGCGACTGGTTAAGAAGCTGAATACTGCTGGGTGGAATGGTTAAAGGGTGGGTTTGCACAGCTTCATTCAACTCGGATGCACACGTGCTATGAGAAGCACCCCCTTAACAACATAACCTTTGGCTTGAACTGGCAATGAGTAACTTAGAACCATTGATAAATGATTGTTGGTGCAGTGGGTCGTTTAGATTCATCAGTTACATTTATTATTATTATTATTATTATTTTGTCTTTTAGCCAAACCCGAGTTCCAATCCCCTAAGCCCCTCCCAGCCTCCCCTTTCACAAAATAAGATAATGCAGATGCAGAAAAGAATGACTACTGTAGTCACCTATACTCTTCCCAAACAGCTGATAACCCCAGTAGCTTAATATTCAGCATATATAATTCATTTACATAATATAGCACTCTGGATATGGCCCTACACCAGTTTTTATTCATATCTAGCATCTGTCTAGATCAACCACAAAAACTCCTACAGCCAGCAACCAAACTACGGAACCTTCAGAAATGAAAGACCCACAATATTAAAATACACAGAACAAAATATCTGAGGTATAAGATAAAAAATGTAATTTTTTTCCTTTTTCCTTTTATTTATTTATTTTTTTAGAGTTGCTAAAATGATGCACTACTGCATGTATTGCAATACTCAGGCCTCGGAAAGCTTCCTTTCTCCCCACATTGGAAGGTTTTTATGGTTTTGTCATTTAGTATGGAGCAAAACGGTTGTATCCCCCTCGGTATATACTAGCCTGCAATGAAGAAAGAACGAGACCCACATCATCAGCATGGCTCCTAGTCTTGGCATCAGTCAAAGGTGCAAAAGCATTCTGAAACAAAGCAATTTGAGGGGTGTGTTTTTTACATTTTCCTTTTGCAACATGTGGATCATCAAAAAGACTAATGTGAAAAATAGACACTCAAAACCGACCGAAATGGAGGCACCCCCTACCCCTCCCAGGTCATTCTCAGAGAACTAAAGATAGGGCCATTCCTGACCTTCCTCAATAGCTCCTCGTAAAGAAATTCCCTGTAAAACCAAATTCTTTCAGCCAGTCCTCTTTGCTAAAAGGACTCTGTCCTAAGCTGGACAACTGAAGGATTTTCTCTGTCTCTCTTCGTTTTTATTTTTCTTGGACTGAGTAGGCTTTCCCCGAGGGAACAGAATTAGCGACATTTGAGGTTGAATTTAGACAGTTTATTGAATGAAACTAATTCAACTCTCCTTCCCAACACATTCCTCATGCGGACTAGGTGTTGAAGCGGAGTTGTTGAATGCAGGATTGGGATGCAAATCTCAATCTGCTTCTTGACTTGGCTCTGCAAGCTGTATGGAATCTGATCTTGAGAAAGGAGTGGTACAGATGAATTGCTTGATGTAATTAAGTTTGTGCAAAACAATGTTTCGAAATCAAGGCTGAATTTCTATGACCGAGCTTCAGTGAACTGTCTGGCCATGGCTTTAGTGGCTACAAGGTGGCACTTAACGATTTCCTTTTTCTAAAAGTATTGGCAATTCAAATGAATGCCTATGGGAATTCATGTTTAGGATAAGGACTGATGTTCTTGATCCAAGCAGAAAACTGCATGCCAAAGCTTTGTAATGATTGCATATGCTCTCACGTGATGGGCACGCCTTACTGTACTCAAGAGTTTTAGTGCATAGAAGTTTGAACAAGTACAGGCAGATTCACCCCACCCTTACCTCCCGTGTTTTACCCTCCCCCCACCCCCTCCCCAAACAAAAACCCAGACCTGCCCCGAAACAAAAGACAACCCCCGAACCCAGCTGATTCCTTCTACTTTCTTATGTACTTAGGTACACAAAGTGTGCCCCTCTGTCTATTTTCTTTCCTGGGCGACTATGACTTTAAACATGAATTGTAATAGGGGAGGAGAGGCAGTCAGATTCTCAGCTGCCTGACAGCAGAGGCCTGGAAGTGTGCAGCTTAGCTCCTCTGAAGTCTGTGCTGGGGCTGGAACCTTGGGGCTATGTGAATGAGCAGCAAGGGAGAAAAAAAAAAGAAAAAAAAAAGTTCTGCATTGACACTGCATTCTGTTAGTGATGGATTTAATTATCAAAATGACTAATTATTCCATTAAGGTAAGTGCTCTGCTAGGTGAGACTTGCAAAATTAGAAATATAATAACTTACATGCACTACATTGCCAAGAAATTAAGACATTTATCAAGTTTACTGGGAGGATTAATGTGGCATTTCAGCTGCTGTTAGCACAAGAGACAAATTCAATTAAGGGGAAGTGAGAGGAAGTCAACCCATACTGAGGTCCCAGCTGGGGGAAGGGAAGGGAGGCAGGAAGAAGTGAGGACAAGGAGAAACTGCTACTCACCATGGCACCAACGCCGTAGGTGGCGGCTGGAGCAAGTGTGTGGTGGTAGGGGTCGGCAGCATAAACTCGTCCGTAACTGAAAGGAAAATAGAGGTGAAGATTGATCCATAGGATGCAATTACAAAACAATAACAATCACAAAATCCAAAATACCGAGACAGTACGGAGGGGCCCTACTCCTCTTGGAATAAGAAACATACTCTACTCTGTCATTAACGTAACAAAAGTTCATCTGTGCACAGTGCTTTTTTTGTGCATTTAACATGGCTGATAATGCTGTGCTTAACAGATACATACATATATGCACATAAACACACACGTACATTATATATATATATATATATATATATATATATATATATATTCCCTGCCTCCCCCCATAATACCGTTTCTACACTGCTCAAGTAGCTGTCTTAGAGATTGAGGTAGGCAAGAAAGAAATGACCAGAAAAAGTGTTAAGCCCCGCATCCACAGAGGGTATGATAATCCTCGAGAAGAGTGCCTTTTTCTCTTGATTTAGCTGGCACCATTCAAGTGAAATAGGGGGAATTAGAAAGGGTGAAGTGACCTGTCTGTGAAGTTAGTGTCTTAGAGTGGAAATGAACAAGCATATTTGAATGGAAGCACCTTGGAAGGGTCTGTGGGACCCCCATTCCCACTCAACCAGACTGATTTGGTTTTGATCCTATCATTCCAGACCTTGTGTGTCATTCATCGATGACCAGGTTCTGGGATTCTGGGAAGGGAGAGGCATTTGACACAACCAATCTTTTTTTTTTTTTTTTTTTTTTTTTTTTTAATGGAGTCTAGTTCTGTTGCCTAGGCTGAGTACATGATCTCGGCTTGCTGCAACCTCTGTATCCCAGATAGAAGCAATTCTCCCATCTGAGCTTCCTGAGTAGCTGGGATTACAGGCACAAGCCTCCGTGCGCAGCTAATTTTTTTATATTTTAGTAGAGACAGGGTTTCACCATGTTGCCCAGGCTGGTCTCGAACTCCTGAGCTTAGGTAATCCACCCTCCTCAGCCTCCCAGAGTGCCAAAATTCCAGGCATGAACCACCACTCTCAGCCGAAACAACAAATCTTAATGACATTTACTCATCTTTGCGTTTTTCTGTCTCTACAATCCCACTCCCTCCACTGTCATGGCTTCTGGAATAGGCTTTAGAATAAAAATGGGAACAGGATAGAAACCAACCATACTTTATGCATAATATCTGGAAGTGAACACCCTTTTTTAAAAAAAGGACTCGGATGTGAAGTCACTTGCTCAAGGTCCCATAACTAGACAGAGCTGATCCTTGAGTGTATGTTTTTGTTTTTTTCTAAACGAAGTCTTGCTGTGTTGCCCAAGCTGGACTTGAAACTCCAGGGTTCAAGTAATCCATCTGCCTCAGCCTTCCAAAGTGTTAAGACTACAGGCGTGAGCCACTGCACGCAGCCTGATCCTTAAATGTCTTAGGGCAACTTTCATGCTTGTTCACAGCATCCTGTGCCGTATTTGTTTGCCCTGACAGATACTTTTTGGGAGATATTTCGGTCTTATTTTACTGTGCGAAGCTGAGGTCCTTCCCTGAAAGCTGATCCTGAAATAGAGATTCCTATGTAAGTGACTTATCAAATGGGGTGCCCTCAGGAGGAAGAGAAGGGAAAGTAGGTCAGAGCAAAGGTGGGGGGTGAGGAGGCAAGATCTGAGCTGAAGAAAAGCGTCTACCTGATCCTGAGTTTCCTGCTGGAGTGGGTGCCACCTGGAGGCAAGCGAGTTGGCTCTTTAATGCCCACATAAGTGAAACATTAGATGTGGGCTTTTCTGAGGGGTGAGTGATACACCACTGAATTAAAGTGGCTTCCTCAGACGTGAGGCCAATTTGCTGGAGAAAGGAGCAGCTGTCTTGTTAGCAACCAACACTCAGAGCAGCTTGATGAATGCATCAGCCACTCAATGGGATCTACACGGTATTTTGATTCTTTGACGGTGTTTTGAAGGAACAAGGCTGGAAGAAATGGTTCGTCTGCATTATGAACCTTAAGCTCATCTCTCATCCTTTACAGTCCAATTTGTACGTGCTTTTCCCGTCTCCTTTCCTGTTTGCCCCCATTTTCCTTACAGTCTTTCTCATAGTTGGTAGATAAGCATATATTGGATTTCCGTCATTTGACCCTTCACACTGCGGAGTCTGGGAAGGTGAGGAACGTCGCATGGAGGACCTTCTCACTCAGACTCCAAAGTATACCTCTGGCAGAAAAAAACAATTGATTATACCAGGGTTGCACTGGGCATGTTCCAACTCCCAAGCCCTTCTGCCTGTGTCAAAGGTCACTGAGTGTAAATAGTCTAGATGAGGCTTCTCAGCGTGAACACTGATCCTCAAACAATGACTTGAAGAGATGTCTCTCTTCTGCGGTGCATCTGTCAGTGGAACTAACAGTCGGCTCCCTCTTGCCTGTCGTTCTTTGGAGACACCCTTCAGTCCTTCTGCTGATCAAAAAATAGTTTTTAATCAGAGATTATCCTTCTCTCTGGGAGGAAAAGCAGGTATAGGTCCAAGGGTAAAAGATGTGTTAAGAATGATAGTTTTTGAAGGAGTAATATATTCATGGAAGTCACTCCTGAGACCTGGGCCTTTACCCACTTAACTTAGAAGTACATAAACAGCGGTCAAAGGAAACGATACGTAGCTTCGGCACTGGTCTTTACTTCATGAGACAAAGCCTGACTGGTCCAGAGAAAAAGGTGTTAATAGGGTTGTTTTCAAGATACTTGAATTTGGCAAAACTGTTTCATAAATAGGATAGAAACTGCAAAGGCAAACTAAAATGCTTCACTTTGTTAAGTGATGTTATGGCATGGTGGTCCTTCAAAACAAATGTGCAAAGATGCAGACGGTTCATTTAAAAATTGGGGAAATGGTTTTACTGTGGCAATAATTTCCTCTTTGGGGGAGACGCTATCTTGGCAGTTTGAATGCATTTAATACAAGTGTAGCTCCCACCTTTTCCTACTGCATACTTTAATGGTAGATTCTTTAACACTGGGCATAGTTTCAACCTTGTGGAAAACCCAAGGTAACAATTTGGCAGTATTCTCTTCCAAGGCAGAAGAAAAATACAGCAGCACGGAACTATTCCTCAAAAATGAGCAGGCTTCTTTTCTCCTCAGGGTGACCTCTACCTTCAGCATCCAGTGGTTTTATTATGATTAATAAATTTCATTTCCACAGAGGAAAAGACACCATGTCAGCTCAAACTGAAAGCAAGGAGCCTTCTTTTCAAATGCTAATTTCTAAACACGCCCTCGTGTGACACTACAATTTAGACACAAGGTTATTAGGGAAGATGTGGACTTGAGTGCTATGTTTGCAGCAGATATGCCAAGCACGTCAGCAATCCGATGTCCTCAGAGCTGGCCACGCACAGCCCGGGGAGAGAGTGAGCAGCAATACCCGGGGCCTGTGCAGGAATGATGGGAAGGTGGCTTACGGTCGCCACGTTAGGACGTGACCTGTAATATGATCACCATGCCATGCATCCCTGGCCAAAGTGGGCGGTAGTGCAGTCAGATCATGATGATCTCCATGTCTCCACATTCCATCCATCAGGAATTTCGGAAGAAACCTTAAATGTGTCCACTGGACTCCACACACAGGAAGACTACGTTAATAGAAACGACGAGTAGTTAATCAAAACCAACTGACCAGCAGCCTAAATTCTTGTCTCCTTTGTTCAACCCTTGCTCTTTCAAACCAGCAGCCATTTACAGGTATCAAGTCTCCCACGTCTGTGCATCCATCTCTCCACTTAAATATAAACCTGTATCCATCGAATCCTATCACCCGCTGCTTAAAACCCTCCAGTGGTTTCCCACGGATCCTAGAATAAAATGCAAGCTTGCGTAAGCTGCCTCTGCCTCTCTTCCAGTCTTCATCTTCCTTTCCTTGGTTACTATGCTCCAGGTACACAGGCTGTCTTAATCATTCCTGCACACATGCATATCCATTCTCTGCTTAGTCTTGGCACTTCTTTGCCCTCCACCTCGATTTCTTTCATCTTTGATGTTTCAAATCAAATGTCTCTTCCCTAGAGACAAAGAGATGCTTCCTTTTTGAGTCAGAGTCTCACTCTGTCGCCCAGGCTGAAATGCAGTGGCATGATCTCAGCTTGCTCCGCCTCCCGGGTTCAAGTGACTATTCTGCCTCAGTCTCCCCAGTATCTGGGATTACAGGTGCCCACCACCACACCTGACTGATTTTTTGTCTTTTTAGGAGAGACAGGGTTTCACCATGTTGGCCAGGCTGGTCTCAAACTCCTAATTTCAAGTGATCTGCCTGCTTCAGCCTCCCAAAGTGCTGAGATTACAGGCATGAGTCACCACACCTGGTCTGACGGCCTTTTTTTCTGAGGGCATCTTTCAACTTAATCCCTACCCCTTCATGTCCTGTTGCAACTCTAACAATCTAATTTCCCAATCCACCTGATCATTTACCTTTTACCCTCCTGGAATGTGAGAGCCCCGTGGAGGCTGGAGCAGTGTCTATTTTGTCTGTCTTTCCATCCTCAGTGTCTAGCACCCACCCTGCCACAGTGCAGGTAGACAGGGGCCAGCCAATGACACTGCAGGAGAGAAGGCAGCAGACGAAGGAGTAAAGAGAGAAATGGAGCCTGGAAAAGACACTCATGCCCAGCATTACGATTCCATTAGCAGACTCTATCAGCAGAAAGATTCTTTCAGATATGCTCTTTGAAGATCCTGGGTCAGCTGCTCGCAGATACATTCAGAATCCTTCCAGACACTCAGAAGACAAGTTTCTGGGGATTCTAGAAATAGTGTATAATTTTTATATCGCTTCTGAGAGTTTGCTAAACACTGGCCAAGTTGCCATAAAACTCATCGAAACCCCTTAAGGGACAAACTAAAAGGCCCAAAAGAGAACTGCTTTCCTGGTTAATTCCCCGTGGCTTGCAACCATCCTGAGATCTCATCTTTTTGACCTTCAGTGATAAGTTAAAGCTGGGAAGCGACCTGAGGACCTGGGGAGAGCCAGGACTTGGGAAAAGAAGATGGAAGTTTGGGTTC